CCCAGGCCCGTGGTGGAGCCGCTCAAGTGCGCGCCCAAGACCTTCTGGGTGAATGAGGGCAAGCACGCCAAGTTCCGCTGCTACGTGATGGGCAAGCCCGAGCCCGAGATCGAATGGCACTGGGAGGGCCGCCCGCTTCTCCCCGACCGCCGCCGCCTCATGTACCGCGATCGCGACGGCGGCTTCGTGCTCAAGGTGCTTTACTGCCAGGCCAAGGACCGCGGGCTCTACGTGTGCGCGGCACGCAACTCCGCGGGCCAGACGCTCAGTGCGGTGCAGCTGCACGTCAAAGGTACCGCGGCGCCCCCGGGCGGCCGGGGCTCTGGAGAGGGGCCTCCAGCGCCCTCCTAGGCCCTCCTAACTCCAGCCCCACTCAATGCCCAGAAGATGGTGGGCGTAAGGGAGGCTGAATATTGAAATGCCATTTCCCACCCACCTCCCAGACTCCCCAGGGATTCGGATTTAGTAGGTCTCCAGGGTACCTACTCTGGGAAATTCTTGGCAAACTCCCCAAATGATTCTGAGGCAGATGGTGTAAAACCACCCTTTGATAAAGGGCTTTAATGAATGATTGATGTACAGATCAAGAGGGGCCCAGAATTCTTGTACTCCTGTGGTTTTCAACTTCTTTGTTAGTTTACCACCTGCCCCCCCCCCCCGCCAATGGAAATCCCATCTAGGGCCCCGATATATAAGACAGATAAAAGGATCATTTTATGGATGTAAAATTCCAAGTCCTTATTTACAACTTACAAAGTCAATCAGTGAAAACAAGGGGTCTATTTTATTTACACACATTTTAGGTGGAGGCTGCATTCATAACCAAGTCTAGTTTGTGAGCCTCCTGGAGAAGGCCTCGTTGCAGGCCTCACACTGAGAAATTCCTGACTCACACCAAAGGTCAACTTGAGGGAAAGAAAAAAAAAATGCCCCACAGTTTTTACTATCCTTTCATTAGACTGCTCTCCAGGTTTGCAAGAAGAGGAAGGTGAAGGAGAGGAAATTTGTTTCCAAGTTGAGTCCCCAACAGTATCTGATAAATGCTTACTTTGCTCATAAATAGAAATTCATGGGTGAGGGGGGAGGAACACCCCAAACTCACACTGGAAGTGAAAGTCCCCCAAAATAGGAGTTTATCACAACTCACAACATTGTACCTTCCCTAGTTATCACCCAACTTTTTCCCTCAGAGGAAAAAATGTTGGCAAATCTCCTGATCCCTGCCTGGCATGCAGTCAAGCATGTGGCACCTGCGCAGTGGTGGTGGCCTCCTGGGTACAGTTTGATGTGCACAAACTGGCCAGGCAGGGCTAAACTCTATCCTCCTGAGACGAGAAAAGCCCAGCGGGAAGGCAAAGCTTCCCAGAGGTGCTGGACAAGACAGGTGTGCTTCCCTAGCAGCCCAAGTGAACCCACTGGCCCTTTCCATTGTCAGGCTTTCTTTTTGTAAAATGCAGTTTTGAAAATGGTTAAAGTACTTTCAAAATGAAATTCAGCTCAAACCCTTATAGAATTTTGTGGGCTACCTGTGAGGGGCTCCAGAGAACAGTTTGAAAATCATGAATGTGGTCCAAGCCCTTCCATCCCTTTAGGCCCAGGGTCATGAAAACGGCTTTGGTCAAGGTGATGTGAGGGCTTGTGAGTGTCAGGGTCAGATGAGAATTTGGGCCATCTGACTTCTCTCCCTGTGCTTTCTCTGATTCCACAATGCCTGCTGGCTCTGGGAGAAGAGCAAACGGCCTGAGCAAAGTGGGTTTAGGCAGTTGATGATGGGAGGAGAGTCTCCTGGGCCGGCCCTCTCCAGAGCCCTCTCTGGTCTCTCCCTTCTCCACAGAGCCCCGCCTCCGCTTCACGAGGCCCCTGCAGGACGTGGAGGGCCGGGAGCATGGGATCGCGGTGCTGGAGTGTAAAGTCCCCAACTCCCGCATTCCCACGGCCTGGTTCCGCGAGGACCAGCGGCTGCTGCCCTGCCGCAAGTACGAGCAGATTGAGGAGGGCACGGTCCGGCGCCTCATCATCCACAGGCTGAAGGCGGATGACGATGGCGTCTACCTGTGCGAGATGCGAGGCCGCGTGCGCACCGTGGCCAACGTGACAGTCAAAGGTCAGCTGGCCGGTGGGAAGAGGCCGAGACCGAGGCTGGTAGATGCCCAGACCCTGGGCTGATGGACTACCGTCCGTATCTCAGGGCCCATCCTGAAGCGGCTACCCCGGAAGCTCGACGTTTTTGAGGGAGAGAACGCAGTGCTGCTGGTGGAGACACGCGAGGCTGGGGTTGAAGGGCACTGGAGCCGAGATGGGGAGGACCTGCCGGCCACCTGCCAGAGCAGCTCCGGCCACATGCATGCCCTGGTCCTTCCAGGGGTCACCAGAGAAGATGCTGGCGAGGTCACCTTTAGCTTGGGCAACTCCTGTACCACCACTCTGCTCAGAGTCAAATGTGAGGGCATGAAAGCCCCTAGCAGACTTCTCAAGGGCTGGACAGGAGAATCAGGCAGGAGGGTGACCAGATGCCCAGAATCTGGGTTGGCAAAGTGGACTTAAGGTCTGAGGGCTGTGGGAGGCTGGAGCAGGGCTCGGATGCAAACCCTGCCTCTGTCTTAGGCGTCAAGCACAATCCCCCGGGACCCCCAGTGTTGGTAGAGATGTTCAAGGGCCACAAGAACACAGTCCTGCTGACCTGGAAGCCTCCCGAGCCAGCCCCCGAGACGCCCTTCATCTACCGGCTGGAGCGGCAGGAGGTGGGCTCGGAAGACTGGATCCAGTGCTTTAGCATTGAGAAGGCTGGGGCCGTGGAGGTGCCTGGAGACTGTGTGCCCTCCGAGGGTGACTACCGCTTCCGCGTCTGCACGGTCAGTGAACACGGCCGCAGTCCCCACGTTGTGTTCCATGGATCTGCTCACCTAGGTGAGTTGGTCCTTCCTGGCTGGCCAGCAGTGGTACTCCAAGTAGCACCCTCCCCTCCGCCTTCCTCCCTTCCCCAGCCCTTGGTCCCTGTCCTGTAATATGCCTTCTACCTGCCAATCTCTGCCCTTTGCCCCGCCCTCCCCCCTGGTTCTCACGGCTGTGCTTTGTCCCCATCTCAGTGCCCACAGCTCGCCTGGTGGCAGGTCTGGAGGACGTGCAGGTATATGATGGGGAAGATGCTGTCTTCTCCCTCGATCTCTCCACCATCATTCAGGGCACCTGGTTCCTTAATGGGGAAGAGCTCAAGAGTAATGAGCCAGAGGGCCAGGTGGGGCCTGGGGCCCTGCGGTACCGTATAGAGCAGAAGGGCCTGCAGCACAGACTCATCCTGCAAGCTGTCAAGCACCAGGACAGCGGGGCTCTGGTTGGCTTCAACTGCCCAGGTGTGCAGGACTCGGCCGCCCTCACCATCCAAGGTTCGTGCTGGTGGGGACCAAGGTGGGCAGATAGGTTCAAGACACAGAATTCCTGTTGGGAAAATGAGGCAGATGCTGTCTTGCTTCTCACATCTGGGCCAGGAGAGTAAGGAGCATCCGTGGTGAGCTCAGATAGAGGGCTTAGTGATCCAGAAGTCTGATTTCAACCCATGCACAGCAGATAAGGGACCCTTTATTATCTTTTGTCAGCATCATATCCAAATTCTCCGGAGTACTTTGTAGTTTGCAGAATTCTGTCATGTTTGTCATCTCAGACAAACGGCCCCTGGCCCCCTAGTGCCTGACTGCTCCTGCCCTGTCATGTAATCGCTAACACTCTCAGAGCAAACTTTCTGGGTGCCGGGCCCAACCCTAATCACTTTACATACATTGATTAACACAATCCTCTTAACATCCCTATGTGATGGGTTCTTTTGTCACCCCAGTTTATAGATGGGCAAACTGAGGCCCAGAGAGGTTCAGTGACTTGCCCAAAGTCACAAAACTAATGAGTGGTGCTGCTGGATTAGGAACCCAGGCAGTCTGTGTCCAGAATCACACTCTGCCACCTGGAGAGACAGGGGAGGAGAGGGAATGAGGCTTCCTGAGGAGGACAGTTCTTGGTAGGGATCTGAAAATTCAGGGACCATGGTAACATTTGCCATTGCACTGTTGCTGGAGTTTATAAGGCCAGTCAAGGAATTCCTTGGTGCCCAGGCATGAGGCCTTGAGGCAGTTAGCTGCAGCATCCCAAGAGGAGGACAAAGTAAGCAATAGCCAGAGCAGTGTTCCTAAAATACAACCTGGTTCACCAACATCGGAGTCATCTTTTGGGGGCTGGTTGACAATGCAGATTCCTTGGCCCTTGCAGGGAGGGACATTTTTAGCAGGCTCCCTAGGAATTCTTATGCACACTAAGAGTTGGTGTGTGAGCCCAAAACTATTTTTTAAAACTCCAACGAATGTGTCAACAGCCATCATCTGACCTGACGTGCTCACCCTCCCTACATTGGGCACGTGCACCAGAGAGGGGTGCTTACTGGGGTTAGACTAGGATGCCGCCCGTGACTGTGCTTCTCACTGTGCAGAGAGCCCAGTGCACATCCTGAGTCCCCAGGACAAGCTGTCGTTGACCTTCACGACCTCGGAGAGGGTGGTGCTGACCTGTGAGCTCTCTCGGGTGGACTTCCCAGCGAGCTGGTACAAGGATGGGCAGAAGGTGGAGGAGAGTGAGTCGCTGGTGGTGAAGATGGATGGGCGCAAACACCGCCTGATCCTGCCCGAGGCCGGCGTCCAGGACAGTGGCGAGTTTGAGTGCAGAACGGAAGGGGTCTCAGCCTTCTTCAGTGTCACCGTTCGAGGTCAGGGACCACAGCAATCTGGGCTCATTCCAGCTGAGGCTGACCCTGAGGGCTGTGTGAGCCCTGCCCCCTGGTCTGCCTGCCTGGGGGTCCCTTCCTGGGAGGGCCTAGTGGGCCAGGGGTCACATGTTTTGAGATCCCGCTGCCTGTGCACCACCCTCCAGTACATTTGGCCCCCACATACCCGCTGCTGGGGGAGTGTGGGGGGAACTCAGTGCAGGTAAGGGAAGAAGAGGCAGGAGCTAACATTTGTTTGGCACTTGCTGGCCAGGTCTTGTGCTGAGTACTTCACTTTCATTTAATCTCCATGACTATATGAGGACCAGTACCTCCATTCACAGATGAAGAAACTGAAGCTCAGAGAGGTTATGCATCTTGCCCATTATCACACAGCCAGCAAACACCCTAGCTGGGTTCACACCCAGGAGTGCTTATCCCACCGCCCCAGGAGGCCAGGGTCAAAGGGAAGCTTTAGGTGCAGTGGTCCAAAGGCTCTCAGAAGTCAGCCCACATTCTGGCTGCTTCAGAACCACCCTGGAAACCTGTCATTAGTGCATAGCCCCAGGCTCCTGTGGCCTCCAGAGCCAGAATATCCAGGACAGAGACTGGGGATCCACTCTGGGAGGACAGCTCAGGAACCAGTGATCCAGCTCAATCAATCTTCTCACTTTGAGCGCAAATCCTGTTTCAGCCCCATTGCCAGGAGGTCCTCTGGCCCCTGCCTGAATGCACCCAGGGATGAGGAACTCACTAGCTTTAGGGAGCACTGCCCCATGGTGGCACCACTAAGTCATTACCACCTCCTGCCCATCCTGGGGCCATGCAGCAGGGGCTTCCTCATGAAAACAGCAGCAAGCACCACCCTGATGTGTCCTGTGATAGTGACCTCCTCTCTGCCTAGACAAAGGCCCTCTGTGTCCCCACCCAGTCCCCTCTGATCCTCTGGAGACTCACAGCACTCAGGTGCCACATGATCTCCTGTCATGCCTCACCTGCCACGCCCTCAGTGTTCCACGTCATCGCCCCAGAGCCCCCAGCACAGCTGGCCTCCCTCCCAATGTCCTCCTGGGAGGAGACTCTCCTAGCCAAGTGGCCAGTACAGACTCACGTCTCCCATGAGTGGGTGTCTGTGTGACCCCATCTCTGCTGCCCTCCAGACCCCCCAGTGCACATCCTGGACCCCCGTGAGCATGTGTTCGTGCATGCCATAACTTCGGAGTGCGTCATGCTGACCTGTGAGGTGGACCGGGAGGACGCCCCTGTGCACTGGTACAAGGACGGGGAGGAGGTGGAGGAGAGCGACTTTGTGGTGCTGGAGAATGAAGGGCCCCATCACCGCCTGGTGCTGCCTGCCGCCCAGCCTCTGGACGGGGGCGAGTTCCAGTGTGTCGCCGGGGATGAGCGGGCCAGCTTCACCGTCACCATCACAGGTGGGGCTCTAGGTGGGCTGTGGGACATGGAAGGTGTCCCCTAACCCCACCTGGGCAGTCGTCACATTCCTGGACCATGGTTCTCAGCCCTTGCTTCCCTCCCCCAAGTTGATCACACACCCCACCCCCTTTCTCCTCTACCCATGGTCTGCACCCTGAAGTTCAGTTACCAGCTGGAAACGTGTGGTCACAAGCACACCAGTCACAGCTGCACAAGTGACAGGGAAGCCCTGCCTTCTCCATTCTCCTGAAGGCCCCTGCCAAGAGGGAACTTTAGAGCTGGCAACACTACCACAGGGCAGGGTCTAGTGGGGGTGGGCCCAGGCACTAGGGAGTCAGAAGGTCTGAGGCCAGCAGGAGACCCCAGCTCCATCTGGGCACCCAACCCTCCTCTCCCTAATCTTACCCTTCATCCTGTCCCTGTCCCAACCCAGAGAATGTAGTGTTTCTACAGCTGAGGCTGACACCACAGTCCCCACTGTGCTGCTGTGCCTCTGATGTGCTTTGGTGACTGTGGTCATGCCTCCACCTGTGGGTGACTGTCCGAGCAACTGTGAGTCACAGTCCGAGGGAAAGCCTTCTTCTTCACCATGCAGCCCACTTTCCAGGAGCCGGGAACAGGCATGGATCAGTCAGGGCAGCCAGGCACCTCAGCCCCAGCTGACATCCAGCCATGGCTGTCCCTGTCCTGTAGATGTCTCCTCGTGGATCGTGTACCCCAGTGGCAAGGTATACGTGGCAGCCGTGCGCCTGGAGCGTGTGGTGCTGACCTGCGAGCTGTGCCGGCCCTGGGCTGAGGTGCGCTGGACCAAGGACGGCGAAGAGGTGGTGGAGAGTCCGGCGCTGCTCCTGCAGAAGGAAGACACTATCCGCCGGCTGGTGCTGCCTGCCGTCCAGCTGGAGGACTCCGGCGAGTACTTGTGTGAAATCGACGATGAGTCTGCGTCTTTCACCGTCACTGTCACAGGTGTGGGTCCACCCCAGCTGCCCAGGGTTACCAGAGTACGGTCTTGAGCCCTTGGGGGAGTTGGCCACAGAGTCCTTAGCTAGCATGTTGGGGAGGAGAAAGGTGGGACTGTGGGTGCATGTACTGGGGGTCCCTGCCTGAAAGAGCCCAGGGTCCTTGTTCGAGTAAGCAAGCTCCTCTCTGGCACCCAAGGCCGGAAATAGCTGTGCTCCACCAGCTCATTTACTGAGCACTTCCTATGTGCCAGGCCCCGGGACAGTTGCTGTGGGTCACTGGTGTGTAATGCAGACACAGTCCCTGTTGTCAGAAAGCTGCCAGTCTAGTTGGGGAGGCAACTGTTAACCAGGGGTCGCAAACGGGCAGTCCCTAAGGTCCCATACAGCCCACAGATGTGTTTTGTTTGGCCTGCAGAGTCTTACCAAAGTCAGGACAGTTCAAATAACAACCCGGAGTTATGCGTCCTCTTGAAAAAGCCGAAGACCCGGCGGCTCTGGTCCCGCTTCCCCCCATGGCGACGGACAGCTGGCGCTGAGTAGTAGCTGACCCCATAAGACGGGGCCCACATTCTTCTGTCCCACCCTCCCCACCGTTTCTGCCTCCCCACAGACCACTTCAGCCACTGACCTTACCTTACCTGGCCCCCGTGGGCATCTGAGTTTGCGACCCCTGTGTTTAACCAATAAACACACAAATAAATGTACAGTGACACCTTGTGACAAGTGCTGTGAGGGGTGAGGGCTCAAGAGAGCAGAGCAGAAGGTTCAGGGAGAGCCTCGGGGAAAGTTGCCATGCCACCCACAGGAGCCAGCCGGGCTGGACTCTGAACACTGAGTAGCACTTAGACACACATGCTTGTCTCGCTGAAATACACAGCCTGGCAGGAAAGCCGGACACATTAGAGAACTGTAGAGTGTGGGTGGCCGAGTATTGCAATAGCGTGCAGTGGGAGCCCAAGGCTGGGGGCTGCTAACCTGGTTGGCAGGCAGGAAGTGCATTCAAAACAGATATTTGAAGCAGGGACTGTGTTAGCTAAGTGGGGGTCGGGGTTTGGGCTAAAGGTGGGGGGAGAATGTTCAAAGCAGGAAAGCACAGGACAGCTGTGGAAGTGATGTTGGTTCAGTGCCGGAAACTTTGGGGGTGCAGCTCACAGCGCCAATCCCAGTGTGTCTGTGATGTGGGGCAGGGGGTGTAGGACCAAAACAATACTAGGTGGCACAAAAGAACCCCACTGGCTGCACTTGAGAGACCATCCTGCTGCTGGCACCATCTGGTTGCCTCTCCCCTGCCCTGCCCTAGAATAGTGCCTCAGCCTAGGCCCCCCGACTCCATGCACCCCAGTTAGTGCAGCCTGGTGCACACAAGCCACAAAGTGAGAGAGGCCTTTCTGTACACCTTCTGTCCTGTAGTGACTCCCTTCAACCTCTCCAGCCCCAAGCTCTGGCCAGACATAATGGCTGTGGCCACACACACTCCAGCCCACACTTGGCCTCCCCACAAAACACCGGATTCTCCACGGGGAAGCTCACACAACACACCACCTTGGCCATGGACCAGGAGAATCAAGTCTGATGCCAAACTGAGGTCCCGCAGCTCTGCAGACACCCCAGCCCCATTGCTGCACCCTGTGCTCATTCCACTGCCTCCATCACCACCCCTCATCCCGCAAGGCCCAGAAAACCAGCCTACATTTTCTAGACTCTTGGAACAAGTCCATTTAGGGAGGCAGAGGCAAGGGCTGAATGTTCACGGGTGGCCACATCTGCCACGCGCACCTCTTCAGAGACCTAGACCAAAAAGCTAGCAGTTCCCCAGTCCAGCCACAAGGGGGCCAAATGCTAAAGGAGCACTAAAGGGGCCTGGAGACTTGATTTTGGGAGACCTCCCAGGTGCATGGAAGCATGGGCAGGCCCAGGCTCAGTGCTCTGGTCACCTCCAATATTGACATGTCTCCTTTCTGTGAAAGACCGACCACTTCAGAGCAATTGGAGATGAACTCCTGGAACCAATGTTTAACATCCCCAGGGAACTTAGTCATGTGCAAAACTCATTACTGAGTTTCCTGCAAACTTTGATTTGGAATCCCTACCACTGCTTCCAGAGTTTGTTCCCTTTAACAGATGGTAGTTCTTCCTCCTGCCCTCAAGTAGGTATGAGGTATGACCTTAAGAAAGTTGCTCAACCACTCTGTGCCTCAGTCCCCTCATCAGAAAAATAAGGATAAATCAATACGTATGTCCTAGGATTGCTATGAGGGTGTAAAATGCTTATGACAGTTCCTGGAGCTTTAGGAAGAGTTATGTAAGTACTTGCTATTACAGATCCACCATCCCTTATCTACAATTCTGATTTTTTTTAACAAAAGCTCAAAATCAAAAGGCTTTTTGTAAGTTAGGTGTTAAAAGTCAATTCAGTGAAACCTGAGCTTAACTCTGTGAAACTATTTCTACTTTTTAATTACCCTGCTTAGAGTGAATATATCTATATGTTACACTGCAGAAACGTTAATGTGACTGATTATGGAGGTACCACCGTGGGGGCTGAGGGGGGTATGTAATATATGATAAGTGTACCATTTCAGGAATCAGAAGCATTCTGGATTCTTTGACACCTCTGGCCCCAGGGATTTCAGAGAACAGATTGGGGACCTCTTATTCCTTGTTATTATTATCTTTATTACTCTTGTGATTGTGGGCAACAGGGACTTCATGATGCCAGATGGCTCCAGTGAGTTTGTGACAGCCTGTGGTTGTCCCTGCTCTGCAGAACCCCCCGTGCGCATCTTATACCCCCGGGACGAGGTCACCTTGGTCGCTGTGAGCTTGGAGAGTGTGGTGCTGATGTGTGAGCTGTCACGGGAGGACGCCCCCGTGCGCTGGTACAAGGATGGGCTGGAGGTGGAGGAGAGCGAGGCCCTAGTGCTGGAGAGTGATGGGCCCCACCGCCGCCTGGTGCTGCCCGCTGCCCAGCCAGAGGACGGGGGCGAGTTCGTGTGCGACGCTGGAGACGACTCAGCCTTTTTCACTGTCACCATCACAGGTGGGCAGTCTCTGGGACATCCTGGGCAGGTAGAGAGGCAGGAGGCTGAGGGACCCTCCCACTTCCTGCACGTTCAGGGACCCTGCCTGCTGCACACAGCTTTCTCTCGTCCCCCAGCCTTCTCATTCTCAGCTGTCTGAGAGGCCTGGCTTGCCCGGATCAGGTCAGAACAGTGACCAGAGGTCTGGTGGGGACAGCCCAGCAATCAGGAGCACTAATTCATTTACTCAACAAATACGTGCTCAGCTCCATTCTGGATGCTGAGGGTACAGTAATGAACCAATGAGAAAAACCTGTCTTCACGAAACTTGCATTCTCGCTAGAGCGAGGCAGAACAAATATGTAAAATAGATGGTTTTTCAGGTTGTGATCAGTGCATCAGAGGCAAAACAGGGAAGGAGGGTAGGAAGTGGGGGCGGGGTAGGGGAGGCCACGCACTCGGGTCAGATAGATCTGACTGTTAGTATGGGTCTACCTCCCTCTGTCCATGTGACCTTGGGCAAGTCAGTTCCCTGTAAAGAAGCTTCAGGTCCTCATCTATAAAGTGAAGCCAAAAATAGGGAGTGTCAGGAGAAGCTGGGAAAAGAGCTGCAGTGTGCTTATCATGGCACCCAGCACACAGTAAGTGCCCATGGATTGTAGGTGGCACCATTCCCAAGAGCTGTACTGCAAATGGAGAGGGCTGAGAATCTAGTGGTGAGGCAGGTGGAGGCCTACTGGCTGAGCCCGCTCACCTCCCCCTCTCTGTCCACCCTCCAGCTCCACCAGAGAGGATCGTGCATCCAGCCGCCCGTTCCCTGGACCTGCAGTTTGGGGCTCCAGGGCGTGTGGAGCTGCGCTGTGAGGTGGCCCCTGCTGGGTCCCAGGTGCGCTGGTACAAGGATGGGCTGGAGGTGGAAGCATCGGAGGCCCTGCAGCTGGGTGCCGAGGGGCCAGCTCGCACCCTGACCCTGCCCCACGCTCAGCCGGAGGATGCTGGGGAGTATGTGTGCGAGACTCGTGACGATGCCGTCACCTTCAATGTCAGCCTGGCTGGTGGGTGTTCCCGGCCAGCATGGGTACGGGAGGCAGAGGCAGGCCCCAGCTGACATCTCCTCTCTCTGTCTAGAGCCCCCAGTGCAGTTCCTTGCCCCAGAGGCAGCCCCTAGCCCACTTTGCGTGGCCCCCGGGGAGCCAGTGGTGCTGAGCTGTGAACTGTCCCGGGCCGGAGCCCTTGTCTTCTGGAGCCACAATGGGAGGCCAGTGCAGGAGGGTGAGGGCCTGGAGCTCCGCGCCGAGGGCCCCCGCCGGATTCTCTGCATCCGGGCTGCAGACCTGGTCCATGCAGGCCTCTACACCTGCCAATCCGGGGCAGCCCCGGGGGCCCCCAGCCTCAGCTTCACCGTCCAAGTGGCTGGTGAGTATAGCCTGGGCTGGCCGCCTGAGAGTTGTGCCCCTAAACCCACGAGTCTCCCCTTTCTCTAGTACCCCTTGCCCAACCCTTGGCCCACTGCTCTCAGTCCCTTTCCCCATCTTACCTCCCACCGCCCTCCTCCTAGCCCTTCACCCCAGTGACCCCCAGCTCTGACTCCACAGAGCCCCCCGTGCGGGTGGTGGCCCCCGAGGCGGCCCAGACGAGGGTTCGCAGCACCCCAGGTGGGGACCTAGAGCTGGTGGTGCACCTCTCCGGGCCTGGGGGGCCCTGTGCGCTGGTACAAGGACGGGGAGCGCCTGGCAAGCCAGGGGCGGGTGCAGCTGGAACAGGACGGGGCAAGGCAGGTGCTGCGGGTGCGGGGGGCACGGAGCAGGGACGCTGGGGAGTACCTGTGCGACACGCCCCAGGACAGCCGCATCTTCCTCGTCAGCGTGGAAGGTAACAGTGCACCCCTCACACCCTTGGGGCCCTGGCCCCCTAAGGACCACACACCCACACCGTTCTGGGCCCCATTGCCCCCACCCCCACCTCACTGCCTCTGGCTCCAACCAGTGCATGCACAGCTATTTCTTGGATGAGGTGTCAGGGATCCCTTTTCCAGGAACCCTCAGATAGGAGGAGGCACAGCCCAGCGCTTAAAAGCAGGGCTCTAGAGTCAACCGTCCCTCCCCTAGGTTCCAATCTGAATTCAGCTTCCCAATAGCTGTGTAATACTGGCAAGTTGCTCAAACTCTCTGGGCCCCAGCTCCAAAGTGGGGGGTAGTGCTTGTCCTATAGGGCTGTTGTGACATTTAAATAAGATAAATAGGGACCATAGTGAATGATGTTATTATTAGGGAGTCATAGAGGTAGGTGCCAGGCCCGCATTGAGAGGAGTTGGCTAGGAGTGTCAGGGAGTTGACATCTTGTCCTTTGAGACACCCCATGGCTGACGCATGAAAGTTCTGTTCAGTAACTGGGAGATGAGGACCCGTATCCGGAGGAGGGGATGAGGAGGAGGGAAGGGGAAAGACCCAGCCCACCTCACTGCCTAACCTTGCCCCCCAGAACCACCGGTGGTGAAGCTGGTCTCGGCGCTTACACCGCTAACTGTCCATGAGGGTGACGATGCCACATTCCGGTGTGAAGTCTCCCCTCCAGACGCCGAGGTCACCTGGCTGCGCAATGGGGCCATTATCACTCCAGGGCCCCAGCTGGAGATGACCCAGAATGGGTCAAACCGCACGTTGACCGTGCGAGGCTGCCAGCTCGAGGATGCGGGGACCGTGACTGCCCGAGCAGGGGGCACAGCCACAAGTGCCCGGCTCCATGTTCGAGGTTTGGTCCTAATGGAGAGAAAGTAGTCTTGGCCCAGAACCTATTCTCCAGGCCCCAGCCCTAGCAGGGGGAAAGATCCCTGAGAGGGAGCAGGGGGTCAGCCTCCAGCCCCTACCAGGCTCCATGGCCCCCTCTCCCTTTCTCCCCAGAAACGGAGCTGCTGTTTCTGCGGCGGCTGCAGGATGTGCGGGCAGAGGAAGGCCAAGATGTGTGCCTTGAAGTGGAGACAGGCCGAGTGGGTGCAGCGGGGGCTGTGCGCTGGATTCGGGGTGGAGCACCTCTACCCCCTGACTCCCGCCTGTCCATGGCCCAGGACGGCCATATCTACCGCCTCTTCATCCACGGCGTTGTGCTGGCCGACCAGGGCACCTACGGCTGTGAGAGCCACCACGATCGCACCCTGGCCAGGCTCAGTGTAAGGCGTGAGTGCCCTGTCCTCTCCTAATGCATCGCCCACCCCATGGCACAGCCTCTCCTGGCTGGTCCAGGGCCCTTCAGACCCCCACCAAAGTGCCCCTTGCCGCAAGGCAAGTCAGCTCTGGCCGACCCCCAGGAGTGTGACCTGAAGCAGCCTGCCCAAAGCGAAACTTTTCTTTTTCTAATATTTTCTATTTACCTTAGAAGTCCATGTGGATTTTGCATTCCATTTCATATGTCCAAGTTGGCTTTGCTATAAACGTAAATGTTATACTCCAGAAAGATGTGCTGGGTTTATCTTTTCAGTTACCTGCCCCAGGATGCATGGGCCCATCTGACAAGCAGGAAGCAGATAGCACCCCTACCCTCAAGCCCTCTATGAACTGTGTGACTTCATACAAATTACTTAACCTCTCTGAGCCAAATCTTCCTAAAAATGGAGCAGATGCCTATTTCAAGGGTCTTTGGGAACATTTGAGAAATAGCCACACAGAGCTTGGTAAATGGTTGTTGGTGGTGATATATATTCTCTTCTAATTTTATTTCATTTATTTAATCACAATAAACCTGCGTCTCAATGCTATTAGCCTTGTACAGTTGGAGAAACTAAGGCCCAGAGAGGTCAAGCCATTTGCCAAAGGTCACACAGCACACAAACTGTGTGGCAGAGCTAGGATCAAGTCCAGATGGTCTGATTCCAAATTCTGTGCTCCTTCCAGTGTCACAGCACCCCTCACCCAACCTCTTCACCCCCTAACCACACATCACCCCCTTTATGTGTCCCCTCCTCCAACTCCAGTAAGCTCCTCTCTCACCCGGTAAGGCCAGCTCTGCTCCCTTCTTTCTGCACCCTGGTCCTGTACTTTGTTCAACAGAACCTTACTAGATTGGGTGTTAGGGTGGTGCAGGCAGAGCCAAGGGGTGTGCAGGTCCCCCAAACCCCTGGCCAGATTTGGAGCCCTCATCCTTCCTCTTTCCTCATTTCCCCCCACCAGCAAGGCAGCTTAGGGTACTGCGGCCTCTGGAGGATGTGACCATCATCGAGGGGGGCAGCGCCACCTTCCAGCTGGAGCTGTCCCAGGAGGGTGTGACTGGGGAGTGGGCCCGAGGTGGAGTCCAGCTGCAGCCAGGGTCCAAGTGCCAAATTCATGCAGAGGGCCACACTCACCACCTGGTACTCAGTGGCCTGGGCCTGGCAGACTCAGGCTGCATCTCCTTCACTGCGGATGCCCTGCGCTGTGCAGCCAGACTGACTGTGAGAGGTGCGGCCTCTGGAACCATCGCCTGCCTGCTAACTGCTCTGGGTGTGACCATACTGACACCACTACCTGTGTGTCTCCCACTCACCTTGCCTGTCCCAGTGTGGCCCTTATTGACCTCCCTGCCAGAGTGTGACTCCCTTGACCCTTTGGCCACGTGTGGCATCAGTGACTGCCCTGCCTGAGTGTGGCTCCACTGAGCCTCCAGTCCCTGTGGACCACTGGCTGTGCCGCTGTAAGATGCCTGTGCTAGGGTGGTCCCTGTTGCCTGCCTGCCTGACCGTGGCCCTGCCAACCACTCTGAAGGTGAGCTCACTGATTATGCCTGCTGCAGCCCCCTCTGCCTGCCTGAGTGTGCCCTTGTGACTACCCAAGTCCCAGTGATCCACTGACCATGCAGGAGGGTGACTCCACACCAGCAACTCTGCTTCAGGGTCCCCCAGTTTTGCTTTCAGCCCCAGTGTGTTTCCCAATGACCACATCAGCTCTAGGGTCCCACCATTGTTCCTAAGCCCATGGTGTCCCCACTGGCCAGTTTTTCCTGTCCATTCCAGCTAGTGTGGCCCCCACTAACCATGCCTGCCTATGGGTAACTCCACTGACATCTCTACTCCAGTTTCCACCATTCCCCTGTACCCTCAGTATGTCCCCCACTGACCCCCTTAAATGTGACCCCTATCTGGCCATTCCTGTCACACTGACTGCTCTGTTCCTGCTGTGTCCCCTCACTGACCAGCATCCCCTTTGGACCACTTATCCCAGCATGCCCCTCACTCACTGGTGCCCTCTGTTAATCACTTTGTCTAACTATGCCCACTAGTGACCCCTTGTGCCTAAGTGTATCCTACTTCTGCTCCCAGAAGCCCCAGTGACCATTGTTCGGGGACCACAGAACCTAGAAGTGACTGAGGGTGACACAGCTACGTTCGAGTGTGAGCTTTCCCAGGCCTTGGCTGACATCACCTGGGAGAAGGTCAGAGCTCAGTCCCAGCCCAGCCCATTTCAGCTTCATAACAGCAATAACAAGGCCCCAACAGAAATAACTAAAACTCAGTGAGTGATATGCCTGGCACTGTGCTAAAATTTATTTGCATTTAATCCTCTAACCCGTCCAGCAACCCTGTGAGGTAGGTCTTATTATCTATAAGGAGACTGATGCTCAGTGGGGTGAAGCATTGCCCAGGGGCAGACATAGAGCCCATATTTTAATCCAGGATTCCTGATTCCAGAATCCACGCTCATGGCTGGTATGATCAGTAAATGACTCTAGGCTTCTCGCGCCTGTGACGCCCCTTCTTACACCTAAGGTTCCCAAAGGGTGCCACCTTCCCATGAGATTCCTGCCGCGGTCCCGAAGGCGCGGGATGGCCCTACCCCATAGCGTAAACCTGCCTTGAAACCGCTTGGCATCAACAGAGGGCGCCGCCGCCTACTGGGGCTGCGGCTGCCGATGCCTAACCGAGTTCACACCGACACTGTGCGACTCCCGCCCTTAGGACGGGCGCCCGCTCACTCCCAGCCCTCGGCTCAGGATCCAGTCCCTTGGCACTCGCCGCCTTCTTCAGCTGCGGCGCTGCGGCTCCTCAGACGCTGGGACCTACAGCTGCGCGGTGGGGATGGCCCGCGGCGGGCCCGTCCACCTGGTGGTGCACGGTGGGTACGGGGTGCTGCCCAGGCCGGGCACTGCCATGGGTGCGGGGCCTGCGGACCAGCTTGCTTCCGGGACTCTCTCGGGTGCTTCTAAAGCGAGGACGAGATGTGGGCGTGGTCCGGTACCGCCACTCCCTCCTCACGCCCCTGACTCCGCCCCAGAGCGCAAGGTGTCGGTGCTCTCCGACCTCCAGTCGGTGCGCGCGCGGGAAGGCGATGGAGCCACATTCGAGTGCACCGTGTCGGAGGTCGAGACCACCGGGAGCTGGGAGCTCGGAGGCCGCCCGCTTAGGCCCGGAGTCCGCGTCCGCATACGACAAGAAGGTCTGGCCGACTTTCTACCCACTCTGGCCTCTCACTGCTCCGCCCCCGGCTCAGACAGACCCCGCCCTACTAGGACAAGTCCCACCTCCAGCTCGAGTAGGCCCCGCCCCACAGCCCAAGGAGCAGTCTCCTGGTCCTTCCCAGGCCCCCAGCTTGAGCCCTCGGTCCTGGACCGCCCCTCTTTCCCCTCGGCATCCCAATTCCGCCCAGCCCCACTCACATTTACCGCCACTGAACTGACCCGGGGACCTACTGCGGCCCCATTCACATCCCCGACCCCTCTCCAGAGGCGGCTCCGGCCTCTCTAGCGGCCCCCTTCACCCCCAGGGAAGAAACATATCCTGGTGCTGAGCGACCTGCGCGCGGAGGACGCTGGAGAGGTCCTCTTCCAGGTGGGACCCGCCCAGTCCGTGGCTCAGCTGGAGGTTGAGGGTAAGAAACGGATGAGGACGGCCTGAAGTGGGCACTGTCTCCCCTTGGGACTGGCAGGCTGACAGCTGGTCCGGTGAACCCTGCTTCCCCGCCTCCATCCTCGCGGGGCTCTCCTGGAGCGGGTCACAGAGGGCAGTGCGTTTCCTGGGGAGGAGGAGACTTTGAGTTTGAGGGTAGAGAGGAACTGACTGGTGGCATAGAGATCTAAGACCAGGAGTGGATGCTGCAGAGGGAGGGAAGATGCTTCTCTCCTCCTGGGGGCCCTGCGTGTCCTTATTAACTTAAGCCCTCGTCCTCCATCCCCAGCACTGCCTCTCCAGATGTGCCGCCGCCCCCCTCTTGAGAAGACGGTTCTGGTCGGGCGCCGGGCGGTGCTGGAGGTGACTGTGTCCCGCTCGGGGGGTCAAGTGTGCTGGTTGAGGGAGGGAGTCGAGCTGTGCGCGGGAGACAAGTACGAGCTGCGCAGCCATGGCCCCACCCACAGCCTGGTCATCCATGACGTGCGACCTGAGGACCAGGGCACCTACTGCTGCCAGGCTGGCCAGGACAGCGCCCACACACGGCTGCTGGTGGAGGGTAAGTAAATCCGATTGAGCAGAGGTCAGAGAGGCAGGTCAGCTGGCCAGCGGTCGCCTAGGAACCCGTGGGCTGAGACACATCTCCTGCAGGTTTTCCTGAACTTGGGATGGCAAGATGGTTCTGAGATGTGTTGGAGATGGGGAGTGAGGAGGCAGGCGGGACATCACAGCCAGGGCTGAGGAGAGAAGGGAGTCCTGTGTTCTCAACGGGAAACACTAGATTTAGGGCAGCTACTCCCACCTTTCTACACTCCTTCCTCTCTGAGCTTCTCATTCCCTCCTGCCTCTGGACCACGTTTGTCTCTCCTGAATGACCCATTTGTACTCAAGTTCCTCTCCTTCCCACCTACCCTAGTCTGTGCCCCTCACCTGTCCCTCACCCCTCCTGCTCTCTGCCCAGCTGGCTTCTCAGCCCATCTCAGTGAGCTCCACATCAGCCTGGGCAGAGGGCTCCTGAGCTAGTCCCATTTCTTTCCTCGTCTACATAAGGGATGCCCTACCCTCCACCTGAATTCCTGCATTCCCTTCTGATGCTTTGCCTTGCCCCACCTCTAACTGGCCACCTGCCCTTTCCTGCCCCTACAGACAGCCCTGACAGGAGTCCAGAAAGGGTGGAGCAGAGGGTGAGGGCCCAGTTCTTCCTGTGTAGGTGCCCAGGCTCTGCCAGGAGAGAGGAAGGTGGTACCCCCTCTCTCCCCAGGCCCACTTGCTCTCATTCCTTTGCAGGTAGCTAGGAGGACCCAAAGAGGCCAGGCAGGTGCCCTCGGACAGCTTGGAAGGCGTGTGCCCTTACCCCTGGAAGCGGTGGGGAGGGAGGGGAACCAGAGGTGTTGGGAGACAATAAAAGTGGTACAGCCCTTTTCCTGGCTCTCTGTGTGACATGGGAGGGCAGAACTTGCCTGGAGCCCCCGTGTAGTGAGTGACACAGGGAACCAAGGGCCACAGTGTTTCCAACTTGGCCCATGGAAGTGACAGCCACCAAAGACCACCACTCCTGGCAGAAGCTGCACAGTTTGGCACATTTATAAAAGATGTAAAACAGGGTGGGATGGGGGGAGACAGAAGCATGAGGTGTCCAGAGTGGCATGACAGACACCAGACATGCACCGTGCATTTAAGCCCCTCCCCCTAACCCCCTTCCCTAGCCCAGCCCAGAGCAGTACCCCCCACCCCCCTCCCCGGCCACTGCCCTCAGGCTGGTGGCTTGCAGAGAACAGGGGACCAAGGTGAGGGCTGCTGAAGTTTGCCCCATGGTCAAGGACAAGAAGCCTTAGATGAGCCTGGCTGAGAGGTGGAGGCAATGTGGGAGGAAGGCAGATCTCCTCCACTTCAACATGCAGGAGAGTGACCCATGGGACTCCAGCAGTGGGAGAAGAGGTGGGGCCACCCTTGGAGAAGCCCTACCAATCAGAAATCTAAGGCAAGGGTCCCAGTGTCCCCTCCAAGCCCATCCCTCCAAACACACGCACACACAAGTGACACACTCACAACCCTGAGCACACCCCAATGGGGCTCACACTCGCGTCCCTCAGGAGCCCCTCGGGAGCTTGGGAGGGGGCTCTCCCCTTAGGCCAGGCTAAGACTGTGAGAGGTCCTCCCTTCTGGCAGCCAGGCCATCCCTCTCCCGGATAGGGAAAGGGACAGCCCAAGGCCACGGGCCAGGTGGGCTGAGTTGTGGCCCAGCAGGCCTCCTCAGGCTGGCAGAGCTGGTGACCGATGAGTCCAGGCAGGCAGGAGCAGCTTGACTGCTATACCCGCACTGGGGGCCCCGAGCAGGCTGTCAGCGGCCCCCGAGACCCATACTCATAGTCCGCATCTGTGGGCGAGGCCATGAAGGAGCTCAGTGAGCTCCCTGTCTGCCGGTCCCGGAAGCTCTGGATGTAGCTCTGTGGGAGAGTAAACATGGGTGTGAGAGTGCCATCATGGACCCCCTGCCCTAAAAGCCACCCCAGGCAGACATCCCCTCCCTGCACCATCACATCCTGGTCTGCTTTTGGCCTAGGACCCCATTACACCCAGAGTCCACAGCCCTGAGACCCTACCCCCATACCACACCTCATTAAACTTCACGCTTAGGACACCTCACCCCCACCCAGCAGTTTCCCACGGGAGGGGTTATGATGGGTGGGTGTACATGCGCTAGGCCTTTTAGCCCCTAGGAAAAGCCCAGTCCTGCCTGGACAGTCTACAACCCTCCCTTCTCCACCCGGGCTGGAGTGGCTCGGGATGCTCACCGGGGAGAGGATGTCTCCATTGAAGCGTTTGATGGGCACTGGCCTGCGCCGATAAGCAGGGTCGGGGGGCCCAGGCCTTGGAGGAGCCCGGGGGCCTCTGGGAGGAGCCCTCGGGGGTCTCTTCTTGCGCCGCTTCTCCTTGCGATCTTCCTGCTGCCGAATCCGCATCAGCTGTACGCGTCGACGCTGCCGGCTGATAACCACTGTGAAGGGTTGGGCAAAGAAAGGTCTCAGAGGCCCACATGCCTCTTCTCCCCAAAGCGTGCCTGCTCTTTCCTACCCAAGGACTCCAGGCCCCCAGATTCTCCTTGTCCATAATTGCCCCCTCCTTACTTTCCTGGTCTCCCACCTCCCAGATGGGACTTCCTGCAGTTCCTTTCTTCCAAAGGTCTTTATGGAAAATTTCTAGACTCTAGGTACCTACTCCCCAGCTATTACCCTTCTCCCAATCCAGAGCCATAGGTGACTCACCTAGACTAGCTGTCATCTCTCAACTAGATAACTAAGCTGCTTCCTCACTGGTTCTCCTTCTATACTTCCCTTTTCCTTTGCTTTCTATACTTAGTAACCAGAATGAGCATCCCAAATGCTAAATTACATTATATTCTCCCTGTTTTATACCTCCAATGGCAGCTCATCACCCTTCTAATAAAGCCCAGAGTCTGCATCAATGGCCCAGGGTCCCCATGCAATCAGCATCCCTCACCCAGCACTCCAGCCCCACTTCCTCAACAGGCCAGGAATCTTCACGGGCCTTCACCCTTGGCTATTCCCTCTTCTCTAGCTCTTTGCCTGGCTTATCTTTCAGGTCTCTGCTTAAATGTCACCTCTTCCAAGTAACCTTCCTTGGCCACTCTGTCTATATTTCACATTACCCTGCATATCACTCCACAGAACTGAAACTATCTTTTTGTTTGCATGTCTATTTTCTCTCTCCCCCAACCCCAAATGTAACCCCATCAGGGCAGGGGCCTTTTCTGTTTTGTCTCTGCTGCATCCCCAGTGCCTGGAAATGGGCTTGGTACAGAACCAGTGCTCTATCCATTGTTGTGGAATGAATGGTGGCACGGAGGGTGTCTCCCCAGAGAGACAGTCAGCTCTCTAACCTGACTAAGGCCTTCTGCTGCTAGTGTGTACAGCTCATTTCCCCACTCCCCAATCGCTCAGCGCCTCCACCCAGCCCTGGCCTCCAAGTTCTCTTATGCCCACCCTGGCCTGGGCCCTCTCACCTTCTGTATGGGAGTCCCTCTCGGCTGTCACCCGCCACTGCACCAGAACGCCCATCAGGCTGAGCAGAGGCCAGAGTGCCAGCAGGGCCCAGCTCCGCCAGCAGAGCGGGGGAATGGGGGCAGCCCGTAGACGCTCCACCGCGTAGCGCCCCAGCAGCAGCAACTCGGCAAAGTAGTCAGCAGCGGTAGCGATGAGCGCAGCACCAGTCACAGCAGTGGCCAGGGTGGTGAGTGGGCGAGGCCAGCGCAGTGTGAGCAGGGCACAGAGAAGGCCGCCTCCCAGCAGCAGCCCCAGGGGGCCCCAAACAGAGCCAGGCTGGTAGTAGGGAGCGGAGCCCAGGAGGGCGGCAGCGGCGAGCAGCAGGCCGAGCAGCAGCCCCACCAGGAAGAGGCCCACGCTGCGCACCAGCATGGCCACTAGCCCACAGAGCAGCCCGATGCCCAGTGCGATGCCCGCACTTGCCCCAGCACTCAGCTGAGTCTCCAGCACCCGCTCTCGGTAGCACAGCAGGAAGATGACCACTGAGCCAAACAGCAACCCAGTGAGGAAGAGTACTGCCTTGAAGCAGCGGTAACCTGGAGGGGAACAGGGGCTAGTGAGAGGCCAAAGCAAGGTTACTGGGCTGAAGGCAGGAAGTCAGAGGGGTCAGGGACATGGAATCACAAGGGAAACCATAGGCAGGACACTAATATCAGAGAACTGGGAGGGGGGGTCACTGGGGTCCTGAGATTAGTAGTGAAGGGACCACTGAGGTCAAGGGAGGTCAGAGAGATAGGTCATTGGGAGTCATTGGGAAAAGAGAGAGACAGTCATTGAGATAAGCGTTGGGTCTTTAGGGGTCAGAGGAGTCAGAGATAGATCATTGGAGTCAAGAATGAATCAGTGATAGGGTCATTGGGATCTTTAAGGAGGGATTGCTCAGGGAAATGAGGTGTTCTGAAGTCAGAAAAACTTAAGAGGTGAGGTCACACAGATCAGAAAGATGAGGCCGCTGAGGGGTCTCAGGGCTTCAGAGATATGATGTTATTACAAAGAGAAGCAGAGTTATTGGGTAGGTGTCCATGGGTTGAGGTCTTTGCAGGTCAGGAGAGATTGACATCTGTAGGATCATTGATAGTATTAGAGGGTTTCTCAGGGAGAGTAATACTGAAGCCAGAGAAATGGTACATTGAGATCATGGTAGGAGCAATCAGACAATGGGGTCATAGGGATCTCTCTATGTTAGAAGTAATAGAGAGAGTCACAGGGATAGAAGGTAATGAGATAGCTAGGGTGGTTGGGGGTCACTGGGGTTTACAAGGGGTTGTAGGGAGTCAAAGAGGATTATAGGGGAAAATAGTGGTTATGGAGTTTCAGAAAAATGGAAATGATAGGGCCATTAGGCCCATTAAGCCCATTAAGGGTATCTGGAAGTGTGAGGGACTTGTAGATCCTGAAAAGCTGGGAAGATGGAAGTCAGAAATGAAGATCAAGGGGTCAGGGAGAGCCAAAGAGGAAGGTCATAAAGAGGAGAGTCAGTTATGGGAATGAGAAGAAGCATTTGAGTCCTGGAGGTTCTGGGGTCAGAAAGAGGAGCAGGGCATGCACTAGGGCTCAGAGAGTCCAAGAGCCTGGGAGTCAGAGCCTCCAAGAGGGGTAGGGTGGCAGGGAAGCCCAGGAGAGTGAAGGTCAGGCTGCACTGAGCAATTGTAGAGGGAGGGGTAAGAATAGTGGAGGGGGTGAGGTGACACAGACTCCTTGGAGACCCAGCATGTGTCCTGAACCCTTAGAGGAGCTCCTCCTCCTGCCCACTCTACAATTGTTCAGCCCAGAGTTCGGGGGTGGAAGGAGGGGAGGGACCATCTGGCTCACATCCCTGCCTACTACCCAGCCATTCTAGGGGGAGATGTAGAGGTCCCAGAGCACAAGTCACACCCCACCCCTTCCCAGACTGGAACCCAGACCTCTAAGCTTCCTTTGGACTTTATCCAACCACTTATAATGCTCTGCCTGGAGTCTTTCCTTGGAAACCTAGCCCATAATGCTCACTCCCCTATCTGAAGTTCTGTACCTTTTCTGTAGAGTCACTGGGCACTTACTCCACTAGACCATCTGGCACCTTTGTGCAAATCAGAAAAAGTTGTGCCTTCTTCTAGGCAAAGCAGCCTTGTGCCAAGGAATTAATAAGGTGCAGAGCCAGGTTCAAATTCAAGAATATCTAATTCAAAACCCTGTGTTCTCTAGGGTCTGGAGTCTAAATTATCTACAAACGTGTGCGATGGAAAAAAGGGGAGAGAAAAGAAAAGTAGCTATCATGGTGGTAGTAAAGTTCTAAAGAAGATTTAGGGTGCCTCAGAAAAATAACTTGGGGAAACAGTGGAGAACCCAATTGAGGGATGAGATAAGGTCTCACCG